TACTTGCTTCCTCGGTTTGTTTGTACCGAGCGTGCGTTTAGTGGGACGTCTCCTTCCCATGAGGCTCATCAGAACTTCATCTTGGGTAAATCGTGCAGAGCCTTGTCATCTGTTTTCGACACTCAGCTTTCCTCGTTTGCCGGTTTCTTCTCGCTTGCGGTTGATGTACCCGGTGTGCACGACTCGCTCACGGCATTTCCCGCTCTATGGGTAGTCTTTATGATGGTATGGCCTTTTCCATCTTGAAATAGCTTCTATTCTGTCTAGTGTTCAACGCATTACCTAGTAGGAGCGCTAATAATTATCTTTTCCATTTATTAGGCCGGAGCCATGCTATGATTACCATCACGTGACTTCAGTCGGTTTGCGCAGTACCTAGGTAGAGAAGAAAGATCAGAGTGCGCCTTTAGGTAGAGAAGACATTTTATTAAGGTTCCGACGGTCTATATGCGGTCGAACGACTGGACTGCAAGCTCAGAGGGGATGCGCCAAATAGCGTTGTCCTCATTTGAGACATGAAGGCAAGCTGTCCGCCGCCAAATACACAGAGCCGCGACGGCCTGTGGAGGTCAAGAATACACAAGAGACAGGCACAAGGAGAGCGTTGTATGCATACAAGTACTCAGATCACGGGAAACACTAGCGTCTTATCGCAGGGAGAAGACAGTTGCACCAGTTGCCAGCTGAATATGTATTGATGCGTTGAACATGTAAGGTACGTCACATGCCCAAAGTACAGGCTCTATGGCACCGGCCTGGTCGATATACTCGTATTCCTAGAATCGGTAGAGCAATAAAAGGAATCAAAGCCTCTCTATAACTTCACCTCCCTCACCCCCTCAACATCCACCGTCACAACGCCCTCAATCTCCCCGGCGCTGTGTCCAAACAGAAACTCATACTGCCCCCGATCCACCGCCCACTTCCCCCTCCCCTCATCAAAGTAAGCAAAGTCCTTATTCTTGACATCCAACCGCACAGTCTCCTGCGCACCAGCATCAAGAGCGACTTTCCGGAAAGCCACAAGAGTCTTCACCGGATGTTCTTCAGCCTTCTCCTTCCTACCCACATACAACTGAACCACCGTAGCACCAGCAACACTTCCCGTGTTCTTGACCACAACGCTTGTAGAAAAGTGTCCAGCCGACGACTGCTCAACGCTCGCCTCGGTAAAAGAGAACGTCGTGTACGACAACCCAAAACCAAAGGGGAAATGAATCCTATCCGCAGCGATACGATCGTAGTGTCTGTAGCCCACAAAAACTCCTTCTTCGTACTTTACAGTAAGCTGCCCCGTTTCGTCGCGCGTACCAGGGAAATGGCCATGCGCAGGCGCGTCTTCGATGCGTTTAGGCCATGAAATAGGTAAATGGCCAGAAGGGTTCACGGCACCAGATATGATATCAGCGATGGCGTTTCCGGCTTCTTGACCCGGGAACCAGGCTTGGATGAGTGCGGAGACGTTGTCGAGCCAGGGCAGGGCGACAGCTACACCGGTCGAGTTTACGACGATGGTTCGCGGGTTCACGGATGCGACTGTTTCGACGAGCTTGTCTTGGGAGCCTTCGCGGGGCAGGTGGAAGCCGACTTGGTCTTGGCCTTCGGTTTCCCAGACGGGCGTGTGGCCGGTGAAGACGATGGCTATGTCGCATTCTTTTGCGAGCGCTTTGGCTTCGGCGGCCATGTCGAGATCGTGCTCGGAGGCGTACATGAAGCCTAGTCTGAATCCGGGGAGTCCGGCGAGAATGTCTCCTTTTGAGTCGCCGGCGGGCGGCTTGGAGTGGACTTGGATTTCGTAGGGCTTGCCTGCGGTGAATGGGACGCGGAACTCTTTTTCGGGGTTGCCGCCGAAGAGGAAGCCCATGGCGTCTGGTGAGTTGTGTTTCTGCTCGTAGACGAGCTCGCCGTTTACGTGGACGACGGTGGGGCCGATGCCTGAGCAGCCAAGGTAGTGAGATCCAGACTCGCTGGGAGTAAACACGGTGGTAAACCTGACTTCGCTATCCTTGGCACTCTGTTCGAGCAGTGGAGAAAATGCCGCTTCTTTGTAGCCATGCTTTGTCTTGATGGGCTTACTGGTGTTGCCCTGGTTGAAGAGCTCCATTCTCCAACCGTCCTTCCCCTCAAGATCTTTACAGCCTTTCGATAGGGGTGGGATGAGTCGATACGTGGCAGCTCCCTTGGCGAACTTGAATTCTACGTCGTTTCCGTACGCAGCTTTGAGGCCTTGTTCGGGAGTGATGCGGTAGTGGGCGTTCAACGAAGCACTTCCGCCACCATGGATCAGAGCCTCCTTAGCCAGGCCAAACAGTCCGATCGTCTTACCCTTGACGTCTTCTTTCCTGAGCGGCAGAACGCCGTCATTCTTCAGTAGAGTAATGCCCTGTCCAGCAACATCCCGAATGAGTTTGCTATGTTTCGGGTCGACGATAGACTGCTCAGGCGGAATCTCCGGGTTCTCAAACGCGCCGACCTTCTCGATAAGATTCAGGACATTTCTCGCTCGCTCAGTGATGGTGGCTTCGGTGACCTGGCCCTTCTTGACAGCCTCAAGGACAGCATCGGTACTGCGCCACCTCGTCGGACCAGGCATTTCTAGATCCAATCCAGCGTTCAGCGAGTCGGCCGTTGAATTGGTACCACCCCAGTCGCTCATGACAAGTCCTTCCCATCCCCATTCACCACGCAAGACCTGCTTGAGGAGGAACTCGTTCGAATCCGCATGTGTTCCGTTGACTTTGTTGTAGGATGTCATAACAGCGAGGGGATTCGCTTCCTTGATGGTGATCTCAAAGGGCTTCATGTAGATTTCCCTCAGTGCACGCTCAGACACAATCTCGTTGACCTTCAGGCGATCCGTCTCTTGCTCGTTGGCTACAAAGTGCTTGATGGTTGCTGCGATGCCTTTCTCTTGTAGCCCGCTGACGACATTGGCGGCCATCTTGCCAGCAAGATATGGGTCTTCGGAGAAGGATTCAAAGTTGCGGCCTCCGAGAGGATGTCTATGGTTGCACATGGTGGGCGCAAGACTGAAGCATTGTCAGCATTTATTACGCGTGTCATATATCAGCAGACATACAGCACTCGCGCACTCTTCGTCTTAGTCTCTTCAGCCAACGCATGGCCTATATGCTTTGCATTTTCGGGATTCCACGTCGCGGCTGAACATACTGCAGCCGGGAAACAGGCAGCTCGTGTTCCTCCTGTGAACACTTCACCACGTGCACCGTTCGGTCCATCGCTAGTCTACCGTGCGTCAGTCACCGTACAGTAACTCCAAAGTTGCAGAGCAAAGTCGTACCTTGATAGCGGGAACGCCCTTATCAGGTACAGGCACAGTTTCCCAAAAGTCTTTCCCAGCAAGAAGCGATATCTTCTCTTCCAGCGTCAGAGACTGGAGGACAGTCTCAACTTTTGAACCCATCTTCTCAGCAGTGTCGTAGAGCAGCAATTGCCCAGAAAACTTCAACAAAGGTGTGAAATGAACCACGCGCTACCGTCTACTCGCCCGTAGTGACAGATATACCCAACAAAAAGCACCTTGCAACGAAAAGGGTATCACCGCTCTACACATCCCCCCCTCCACCGCGCACGACCCTCGATATAAGTACCCCAACGCCGCTCCCGCGCTCGCCTCCAATCCCACACGGGAATCCTGACCGTCTCTCCGGGAAAGCACACCATTGACGACCGCATCGGTGCATCTCGAGACGCTTCGTTGTGGAGAATTGGGGGAACACATTCGCGCATCATTGGCGCGTCTCGAGATCTACCGTAGTGGCACTCGTAAGCGTGCCGAGGTTTTGCCATGGCGGACGGCCTGATCGTGCTCTGATTCGTACCTTTCCCGTTGGCGAGCCGTCGGCAGCGCTTTCGCCGAGGTTTAGCCGCGAGGGTAGGCTCGGAGTTTATCCACAAGACGTCAGATGATACGTGGGATGTCGTTTAAGTACGAACGGGTCTGTGTTGTACAAGTGATGAGTAAACTTTGAGGTCGGTGAACACACTAGACGTTCGATAGCAGACTGCTAATAGTGTTGCTTTACGTGTCTAAAGTAAGCCTTAGGCTTTAGTATTTCTTAACTATAGAAACTTAAAAAAATCTTAACTTAATAACTAAAGTACACTATTATAGTTATATACTACTCTAATACCTAAAAGAAATAAAATTATAAAATCTTTATACTTATACGTTAATTTTTCTATACTTATTTCTATCTAAGTACTTAAAAATACTTTAATATAACTTTTACGCGTACGTAACGCTATTAAAACTTAGCTCTAATAAATATAAGCTAATTAAGCTTATTAACTTCTTTAATAGAGAGTATTCTAGCTATATTACTAAGTATAAAGACGCTATTAACTAGAAATATATATTTCTACTTTAAGTAATTACTTATTATAAAGTTACTACTATCTCTATCTTTAATAACGCTCTTAATAATATTATTAAGCTCTTTATATGCGTAGAGCTAAAGACTTTTAAATAACTTTATAAGAGAGTTCTTACTAATAATACTACTACTACTAATAAAATAATTATTAATATGCTTATAGATAAATCTTAGAGAAAAGTATAAAAGTAAGTAAAATATATTTTAGTTAAAGTCTAAAGTAGGTAAGAGTAATAAGTAGATTAAGTAGACTAGTAATTAATAAGCTTATAGGCATGTACTGTAACGTCTTCTGCAGTGTAACATTAGGCTAATAGTGTTGCTAGTTGCTGGTTGCGCTGCTTGCTAAGTCAGATCTCGATGCGGCAAACTTCCGAGGCTCAAACGGCAGTCGCAGGGGGACCCACGTTGGCTTGGCTGGCGCCGCTGTGGTGCCAGGTGAAGCTTTTTGAGAAAACTATACGTCATGTTGTGTTTCTGATGGCATTGCATTTCTCTACAGCCTCAAAACTTCTCTGCAAGACGACCGTCTGATATCCCACATATTCCAGCATTTGCAGGTGTTAATTTGTTTGTACATTTTCCGCTTTTGAGGCGCACAACATGGCTGTCTCGTCGACGAAATCTGGGGAAGTCGAGCCCACGGCGAGCCGGCGGCATCCGCTTCAGCGATTTGACTCTCCATCCAAGGGATTTTCGGGCGCGTTGCACGTAAGTCACAGAGGAAGCGTAAGGCAAGGCCAAATGTTGACGAGTATTCGTATTACAGGTTGCTGGTCTGATTAGCTTCTACAGTTCCTTCAAGTTGTATGTCTGCATCCCGCCAACTTTGCAACCAGCTAACATGAGTTCAGCTTGATTGATAACCCAAATGTCTTTGTATGTACAGACCATTGTCGAAAACATATCTTCACATCCCATAATGGTTCCTGCACACGACACCTCAACCCTCACCAACCCTCACCACCTTCCAACCAACCCAACCCACGCTCTAACACCCAATCCCAGAACTCCTCCTTCGGCTGGCACCTCCAATTCCTAACCATAATCGGCCTCTCCCTCTCAACCCTAACCTTCCTCTTCGGCCTCATCGCCGACCTGACCTCCACCGCCCTCTCCGTCTCCTCCACGCTCCCGTCAAACCCGCCTGCCGTCGCCCTCTCAGACCATCTGTTCCGGCTAAAGAACTACCTTGCGCTCGTAGCCGCCCCGATTGAAGCCACCATCAGCATTCTGTACTGGACGTTGAAGGCTATTGATGGGAAGCTTTTGGTGCAGCCGTACGTCGTCTCTTTCCTTACCCTCGATTTCCGAGATTTGGTGTTGTTCCCATGACGTTCCTTTTTGCTAACGGGAGAATTATAGGGATATCCCGCTACCACCAGCAATCTACGATATAGGATTCCATCTGGTCCCTGCTGTAGTCCTGGCCTTGGATTACATACTGCTTTCGCCGCCATGGCCTACCACACCGATGAATGAGTCTGCGCCTATGATCACACTTGCTCTCTCCACTATTACCGCGTTTACATATTGGATCTGGATTGTAAGATTACCCCATTCTCAAAACGCCCCAAGTACACTCAGCTAACCACACACACCATCTTCTAGGAAATCTGCTTTTTGCAGAATGGCTTCTACCCTTATCCCATCTTTGCGATGCTCACGACCAATCAGCGAATCGGGTTGTTTGTTGTGAGTGGCGTGATTATGTGGGTGGTGGGTGGGTTGTTGAGGGTGCTGTATGCGAGGATTAATGGCTATGAGAGTGTGGAGCATCTGGAGAAGGTACGACGGAATAAGGTCATGGGCGGTAGTGGGAAGTGGGAGTAAGAAGGGAAAGGTACGGAGATCGGTATACGACTAGATGATGTTATGATGCGCGGAAGCTATGGAAGCGTGAAATGGAGGTGGTTGGTGTAGACAGGAATATTGCAGGTGGGTATTAGAGCGGCGGTGGAAGTCATTGGTCAGATCTAGAGGTTATGAGTCTACGTGATTGGAAGACAACAAACTCTCTATATTAAACAGGTAAAAGAGAAAACAGTGATACTTTACATGCCCACCAGCTTCTTACCGGCAGTCCCATGCTTGCGAGCAAAATGCACAGTAGGGTGAGGCATAGAAATAAGAAGAACATGCCTGAGTATCTGTCCAGCGATCCCCATAGCGCGCCTCTTTGAAGATGTCGTATTAAATCATGTCGCATGTCGCTACTCGTTGCAGCGTATATCATATATCACCGTGTAAAAGATATGAATCAGAAAGAAACGCGGGAAAGTAAGTCGCATGCATAAGTCGGTAGATGGAACGAGCGTGAACAGTCGGGTATCTGCTACAGCACGGTGAAGCCGAGCGTGGGTGTCGCGTTGGGAACGGAATGAGAGCACAAGGTCCAAGCGCTTAGCTTGTAGACGGTGAAGGTGGAGCTGTGATGGTACGTTGGTCATCGTCATCTTGGTCCTGTTGCTGGTAGGCGCTTGCGGTGTTGTAGAGATGGCTGGTGTACTGGAAGGCCTGTTGATCAGGCCCAATGCCGTACGAGTAGGTGGGATACTGGTAGGCGTTGTTCTGATGGCCATGAAAGTTACCATAAGCCGTTTGATGGAACGAAGGTAGAACGTTCTCCTTGTTATCATACTGGAACGGGTCGTTGAAGGGTTTGTAAGAGTTGAATGCAGGTGCAGGAGATGGAGATGCTTGGTGAGTGAAGCCAGATGTAAGATAGTTCATGCCATTGGGCTGCGAGAATGGAACGTCATCCTCGTCTTGGTAAACGTCAAACTGCTTCCGCTTCGGAGCACGGTTGTTGCGGCCATGGTCGTAGCCAGGACGGCCGCGATCATCATCGTATTGGTTGCGGCTGAGGACAGGAAATACGGGCCGCTTGGACTGTCTAGTAGAGCGGCGAGTAGTGTTTGCATCAAGACTGGCGAGTGCAGGTCGCCGACGTACGGGCTGGGGGCTCTCAGTCTTGATCTCGACCTCGTCCTCTTCGTCAGACTCCGAGCACGAGATCCTGCGCTGGCGTTTGAAAGATCCCAACGGTGTGAAGATGAGCTCAGTTGCTTCGACTACTTGGGAGTTGAGCTCCAGCTGTTCGACGACAGAGCTGTCCTTCTTCTGGTTCCTCTTGCGCCGCATCTCTGGGGTAGCAGAGTCGAAGATGTCCATGCCAGGCCAGTAGACACCTTTGAGTTTGGTCGACTCGCTGACAGCCATCGGATCTGCAACCTCAGCAGGTTCATCTTCAATGGCACACGAAGCCGCAGCGTTGTACCGGTATGACCTCCGACGCTGCTCGTTCGGATCGGAGTATTCACTGGAAGTATCATAGTCTGGGTTGGTATAGCTGCGAGAGCTGGCCCGAGACTCTGTAGGCCAGTACTGCATATGAGGTGCGAGGGTATTGCGATTGCGGAGGACCGGGCCGAGAGGTTGCGGCGTCGGAGAAGGCGACTGCTCTAGCTTGATCATCGTGTGCTGCTGCTCCGACAGGCGTGGATCGAGGAGAGCGCTTGCGGCGGCGCGACGTACAGGACGTGGCGCGGGGGCCTCGATCTTGAGCGGAGGCGCCGGCCGGGCTGCTTCAGGTGTAGTCAGTATCAGTCTCAAGTACAATCGGATGCAGGAGGTAGCTGTACCAGCGGGTCTCGCGCGAGTACGGCGTTTGTCCTTCTGATTCATCCGGTCCGACATGAGCTCTTCGACAGCCCATTCGGCATACCACTGGTCGTACGTCTCAATGAGCCGGCGGGATGCATCCTCGTTGGTGGAGCGGACCTTGACCTTGTAGTAGTTGGATAAGTGGCCTTTGCTGGCGATGTGGGTGAGTAGATGCGAGACATCGCTGAAGTTTGGCTTCTTGGGGCAAATGTTGCAGTGAAGCGGAATGTTGGCCATGCCGAAAGCCTGGCGAGGCTGCACTATATCAAGGTGAAAGCTGCAGTGTGGATGCGGTGTTTGTAAGGAGCGTAAGTGAAACAAGCACAAGAGCAGCGCAGTAGTGAAAGCAAAGAGCGTTGCGAAAGGAGCGGACTGAGAGTGGAGAAGGCGAAGTGACGGTGGGAGAGGTGCTCATGAGAGACCTAGTACAGAGATGGCTGCCGGTCACCGCGGTAGCTCCTAGCCCATTTCCTGAGCGAATAATTGGAAAGCAGAAGAGGCGCCAGCACTTGTAAGGAGAAGAGAGGAAGGTGCGATATCGCAGTGGAGGAATTGCAGCAAGAAGAGGTCTGTTGGTGGTGTTCTAGCAGGCAGAGCACGTGGGGGCTCGGCACTGACGAAAGAGGAAGCCACCCTCACTTTCCTCCCGCTTTGTGTCTCGACGCCTATGGGAGAGACGCGAGGTATTAGATAGCGAGAGAATAGGCTTTAGACGGACAATACACGGATACGAATACAAGTGAATGGTCATGAAGTCTACAGGCGCGAGAAGATACAACTAGCATTTGTTGTTGGCATCTTCGCTTACTTACCTAAGCACCTACGGGTGACTGAGCGAGGCATGCAGCTGCGCGTTGGTCAGTATACGCGTTGAGATGCGAGGACAGTGGTCACATACTACACGGGATCTACCTCTTCCAGACCGGGATACTTCAACAGACTGAGACCAGCAATTCCAAAGACGGTGTGGAAGACGTCGACCATGTCGCCAGGTCGGTCTGCGAGACCACCCAGATCCGGGTCCTATCGTTCATGGTCAGATGGCGATGATGCTGAAGAGAAGACACTACCCACCTGGCACTGCAGGATGAAACTTGTCAATTTCTGACCGTCTATCCAGTGCAGCTTGTCTAGCATGGCCATGCTGCTCATGACCCACCAGCTGTAGCAGACGTCTTCCTTCTTCTCTGGCCGGCCGTTGAGGCCTCCGTTCTTGAGCTGTCGTTCGCTTAGCCAGGCGCCCAACTTTTCTTGGTTGACAAGGTCGAGTCTCCCCGCTATGGTCAGTGCGCCAACACACGTGAACACCTGACCAGAGTGCGACTCGGCCCCAGGGCTGGTACCGTATCCGCCGTCAAAGTTGGCGCACGAGTTGACGTACTGAGCGGCCTTGTCGACATCTACGAGTTCAAGCAGGCCCATGAGAGACAGGGCATTTAGGGCGCCGTAGAGAAAGCGGGTATCCTGCTCGCCCCACTCATCGCCCGCAAAGGTGCCCGTCTCGCGATCTTGCAAATCGGCGATGACTACCTTTATGAGTAGACTATCACGGCGAAGCTGCAGATGACTTACATTTTGCAATTTTCAGGCGGGCGCCGGGGCTGCGCTCTTCAAGCTCACCGAAAGCGTCAAGCGTCGCGAGTATCTGCACGCCACTAACGGTATAGAGCATATGGGCATCATGGCCCGGCGCAGCACCGAGGCCGCCATTATCATGCAGACACGAGATGACAAAGTCGAGGATGGGAGCGCGTGGAAGGGCGTCTGGGCGGCCCAGGAGATGCAGGGCCGTCAGTCCCCAGTAGAGGCCGTTGAGGCGCAGATGTTCGGTGAGCCAGTACTCGAGCTCATCTTTGCGCTGCAGCGGGTCAGCGCGGGATTGGGTGGCCGGGAGCTTGCGCGGCCGCTGGGACTGGGGACGGGCTACGCACAGTGTCGAGGCTCTGGATGTAGGCGACGTGCCTGTCGACGAAGAGGTGCATCTCGCTGGGCAGGCTGGCCATCCCAGCAGCGCGCCCGGGCCCGGAAACGAGAGACATGTTAGACGGGTGTCAGATGTGGGAGGAGTTGGTGGGAGCTGGCGGCGCGGGAGGGTCTAGTCGAGGCAGCATGGATGGCGCCGACAGGGTCTCATAATTTCTGAAACGAGACTTGGCACATGAAGCATTTCGGTCTGGCAGCCGCGACAGCCTCGCACTCGCAACAATGACGATGCAGAGGGTGCTCTTGTGCAGCGTCGATAGTCTGCCGTCGATAGTCCGTCGCCTGGCGGTGAGCACACATGCATGTTGCTTAGGTAGATCGCACTACGCCCGCCGTGGACAGCCGTTTGCGATAGCGCTGGTGGGCCGAATTGGGGGGTGGTGGCAGCGTCGCGCCCTCGTACTGTACCTGGGGCCGTGCACGGTGCTGAAGTCGTTGCCGCCATCCTCTCGCAGCCCTTGGTGCCCTTTGCTCTTGATTGCAGCAGAGCCTGTCTGTGCCTTGGGCCCCTCCATCGCACTCACCACAGAGACACGTGAATTGTGTCCTTTTGCTGACCAAGGCGCCGCTCACCGCACTCGAAGCAACGGCCGCCCAGCCTGCGCTCCACGCTCCACTCGCTCCCTTCACCCCAGCGCCTCTCCCTCGTCGCGGCGCCCCGTAGACCCCTCGAGTCCTGTGTGTGAAAGTGGGTGAGTAATGCCCAACCACGGCGCTGCGACACCTCGCTCGCCGCTGCCACTCGTGCCCTCGCCATGTTGTACCACCGTCAACACTCGCCATAGCGCCGCCGGCCCCTTTCACGTTCCGCAGCGCTTGCTGACCACATCCCAGACGTTGCATGACCGCCTCACCTGCCCGCGACCGCCATACTCGACGACCGCTGTGCCCGCCAAAGACTGCCGTAGCACGCGCTCGGCATCGCCTGTCCTCCCGGCTTGCTGCATGGGAGCAACGTCCTGCCGGCGGTGATATAGACTCGACACCCGCTGCCGACGCTTCGAGGCACGCCCGCAGCCAGCGCCGACCAGGCTCTCACGGTTCGTACCACCCCGCGCGCCGTCTAATACCTCCCGCTGGCTTTCACCTCTCTGCGCCAGCTATGAGTCCGCTGCTGACAGTCATGAAATACAGACTCGTTGACCGCGCAACCGCCCATGTGCCGCAACCACTGAGCCTGCCACCGCTCCCTTCTCTACACGCGCCGCACCGTCTCTTCACACCCTCGCTCGACTGCCTGCACATCGGCGCCCTCGTCCCACCAACACCCATCGAGGTATTGCGGCCCTCGACCTGCACGCTTGGCAGCAGCCATTGCTTTTTAAGGGAGCCGTGCTAAGGAGTCAGTAGCCCTGCGACCCTCCACGCAAAACAATACGAAAGATGCCCAAGTCCTCGACACTGTCGCTGGCCATGCGGGGCAAGCCAAAGAACAAGGATGACGCCAACGGCCCTATGAGCCCCAAAAGTCCGAGGTCGCCAGATATGCCTGAGGACCTCGACTATGCCGCTCCCAATGCCTCGTTTCATAGCATGCCACAGTCACCAGCCTCGCCGAAGCCTCGCAAGGACTCCAAGAGCATATTCTCCAACTTCAGCGCCAACAAGTCGTCGTCACGCCTTAACAGCCAGGGGAACTCGATACGGCAGCTTCCTGAACAACAACACTCGCCCAGTCTATACTCCAACGGGCGCAGCGGGGCTTCGACACCAGACCTCGGCCGCCCCGTGCGCACCCCCAACTCGGATGGTATGGCTACAGTAGCCCAGACAAACAGCGTATCGCTAACTGCCACAGACAACCGCTCCGAGGTATTACGGACAGGCTCAGGCAACTCCAACGACTCCTCCGATCCCCACGCCGACTCCTCAAAGCGCAACACCATCAAACCGAAGAAGGGCATTCTGAACAGGTCGAAATCCATCAAAGACGGCGAGAGCTCAGGTACCCGTGCAAAACTAAACAAAGCCCCACCAGGGCAACTGTCACCGGACATTGCGGGTTCGTGGACGACAAATGGCGATGGCCCGCCATTGAAGCCGGCACCCATGGACAAAGGTCAATCATGGCGAGGCATAGGCAAGCCACGAACACACTCGGCAGATCGTCAGGACAGCTCGAAGCAGATACCACGGGACGTCGACAACGGGCCACGAAGGGACAAGTCGGAGCAGATATCGCTAGCCTCGAGTTCGTACAATGAAACCAAGGGACACGGCTTCATCTCGAAACTCGGTTCAGGAGCTCGCAACATGGGGGAGAAGATGGACTCCGCCCGCAAGGGCGTGTTCGGCAAACTTGGACGAAGCTCAAGCAATCACGAGAGCCAGACGCCGATATCGAATGAACCTTACGTGTGCAAAATCATTCACAAGCCCTTGATCGAACAGACGAGGCTGACACGGATATCGACCCGTCTGGAGCAGTCACGCGACAAGACTGAGTTCTGGATGCCGGCTCTACCTTGGCGGTGCATAGAGTAGGTCATGCTTCGATTCGTTCTCCGCTTGTGAGGCTAACACTCACTTTAGCTATCTGAATATGCGGGGCTGTGAAGAAGAAGGCTTGTACCGCGTTCCTGGATCAGCCCAGCAGGTCCGATATTACGAACGCAAATTCGATGAAGGTAGGACTATCTCATTCATTTCCACGACAATTGCTCACCAAATCACAGACCGAGACATCGACTTGATCAGCGATCCCAACCTGAACGATCCCAACGTCATCGGTTCACTCTTCAAGAACTGGCTCCGACAACTGCCAGATGAAATCTTTCCAAAAGCGGTCCAGACGGCAATCCAGCAAGAATGCCAGGGCGCCAAGACGACGCCGCAAATGCTTAAGGATGAGCTCTCGAAGCTCCCACCATTCAACTACTACCTATTGTTCGCGATTACCTGCCACATCAGCCTGTTGCACTCATGTTCCGAATTCAACAAGATGAACTACAACAATCTGTGCATCTGTTTCCAGCCGGCTATCAAGATCGACGCCTTTTGCTTCCAATTCCTTATTCTGGATTGGCGAAACTGCTGGCAGGGTTGTTGGACGGAGAAGGACTTTTTGACAGACGAAATCAACTTCTTGAACCATGTACAAGAAGTTGAGTCCCAGCAACAGCAGCAACAACAAGAACAGCAACAGCAGCAACAAGTACAGCACCACCTACAGCAACAACAACAGACTCCATCCAGAAACGGCCCACCTCAAAGCGCTGGGAGAAGCAAAGGCACGAACTCGCCCCAGGTGCCGC